CCTCAACTCTGGTAAGAGTGCACCCCATCTTCTCACATTTGGAAGTTGTATACTTGCCTTTTCTCGTTTTCTTTGGCATGATGGTGATGGTTTTGACAACCCATGCTTGGAGAAAAAACCTCGGTTTGAGCTCCGGGACACTTCTCAGCCCTCTTCTAAGTGGCGTCCTTTCCCACATCCCATCTTTTGTGAACCTTCCGATGACGAGTTTTTCGGTAAAGTTGATGCCTATGCTGCCAGCTCCACCGCTGCTTTCATTTCATTCCCTGAGCTTCAGTGTTCTTATTGTTGTGACCTCACTTATTGGGCTAATTTGAAGGGGAGAAGGAAGAGAAGGGTTGGTGCCACTCGTGGTGTTTTGCCCACCTGGGTCATGCATAAGGAGGAGTTGCCCTTTGAGGGCCTGGCATATCTTGTGGATGATGCTGCCTGCTTATTTGCGGGCTTCGGTCGCTTCGAACACCGAGTCATTGTGTGCAAGCTCCAAGGACCGACACCAGGGCCAACTGCATATCAACTTCTCACCTCTTATGGTTACCCAGACTCTCCAAGTCTAGGCAAAATGTTTGATATTGACTTCTCAATCACCCTTTTACCATCACTTGCTCAAATGTGCATTGTCTACTCTGGTCGTCGCTTGAAGAACACAGACGGTCTCTGCAGCGACACCGTAGTTGTTGGGCGCTTTGCCCTTCGTCATGAAGGGGATACCTGTGCTGAAGGGGCAGCTAAGTGGCTGGGCTCACCTTTTGCAAGTGTTGGTGTTGTGAGCAACGATAGAAGAAACGTGCCTGATTTCGAGTTGATTTCTTCGAATGAATGTCCGGAGATATGTGGCTGGCTTGAGCGTCGTTGCTTCATGGTGTAGGATAGATGCTTAACTCACTTTTTGCACTCATCTCGATCTGATGGTATTGTATTACACTTATATTAGTGTAGTTGGTTAGTATTTTTGGTTGCTAAACTATCATTTGTTAATCAATGTCGCATGCTGCATGTAGGGTATATTTTTTTGGAACTAAATGATCCTGAAATATGGATTGCCAGCTTGTCACAATATTTTTTTGTATATGCAAGTGCTAAACTTGCAAGTTTCTCTTAGCGCTAATTATGTCTTATATCTAAAGAAACATAAACGAGTGTTTCCTACATTATCTCACTCGAGAACTTGTTAACTTTTTTTAAGAGTTCTATGTTTTGTTTTGCTTTGATGCTTCCTTTTGTCTTTCTTTTCTTTTTTGGATTGTTTTATTGGAAAAACACCCAATGTATTTCCGATTTGATTGTTTTATTGGGAAAACACCAAGTTTGGCAGTGATGAGTATTTGCTTTGTTGCATAGTCTTTACATTTCTTCTTGGGAAATGTTTGGTTCACAAACACAATCATCACAAATTTTACAAATTTACTATTTGTAAATTTCTATAAAAAAATTAAATAATAAATTTGTAGAGTTTGTGACCAATCCTTTTTGTCAACGTAACATTGTTCTTCTTACACGAGAAAACAATTGATTAAAGAAGCCACGCTTTGTGCACAGATTCAATCTACCTGACTTTTCAAAGAGTGTCTTGGAGAGCTTTTAGAGTCGGGACCTGCCTTAATTAAATGCACTTTCATAGCTTTTAGAGCAGGGGCCTTCACTCATCATGGCCTTAACACTACTCTAATTAAAAGTTTACAATTACTATTAACACAGTCAAACTATTTTTTTGCCTATTTTCATTTCTCGTTTGATAATATAAAATAGTCGTCACTTCTTTTTTTGTAAATCTTTTGATATTGTTTTAAAAGATTTAAATTTTATTTTTTATTTGTATACTAATTTTTATATAAATTGAACTTAAAAGAATACCAGTTAAGCATCGGAAACCGTACTGCAAGCTTTTAAATAGGACGGAGAGAGTATATTTACCCATGTCTTCATATAAAATTGGCTAAATTGAATTGTTTGTCACTCAAGTTAATACATTATGCACAATTAGTACTTCAATTTTAAAAATTCTTGCAATACTCTTTTATGTCACGTTAGTGTTGCACCGTTGGTCCTTCAGTTATCTTTGTTGTTAGTCCATGCGTTTTTTCGTTAGTCCTTGCATTTTTTCGTTTTCCAGCATAAATACATGTGAATAACCATCTCTTCTTCACACAATTGAGCAATATTTCATGTAGCTCCATTTTTTGAATTGCTCTTACTTTTGTTGGTCGTTTTTTTAATGCTCACTCTGTTCAAGAATGTTTGTCTAGTTTTGACTTTTTATAGTCAACTGAATCAATCTTTGATCAATATTTCAATTAAAATTAGAGGCAATATTAATTACATAAATAACCATTTTGGGCAAAATATTTCACTATATATATATATATATATATATATATATATAGGGATTGGTTCATGTGAGAATGATGCTTAGTGAAAGAAATAAGGATATTAATGATCCGTTGATTGATATGAATTGGATGGCCAAGATTTTGTATCACCTTTAATGATTGGTGACTAATAAAAACGCCAAGTATTAATTATACTCCTTAAAAGTAGGGAAGTATTACTCCCTCCGTCCCATTTTAAATTGCCTGTTTGCCTTTTTTCTCCGTTCCAAAATAAGTTGCATGTTAGTTATTTTCGTAAACTTTTAAAAATAAAATACATAAACTACCCCTAAAATAAGTCACTCTTCTTCACCTTATCTTCTCATTCATCATCACCCCTTATAAAAAGTAATGTCAATTTCGAAAAATCAACTCTATTTTTTATTTTTCTTAAATATGCCCAAAAATCAAAACAGGCGATTTAAATTGGGACGGAGGGAGTAGTAAATAAGGGCATAAACGGAAAAGATGAAATACATTGGAGATGTGATCTAAAGCTAAAATTAAGGCCCGATCCCTCATAAATAATTCTTTTATGAATTAATTCTGTTATATTATATTAATATATTAATTTTATTTAATTATAGTGCACCATTTATTTGCACTCAATTTTATGTACACAAGTCCGTTTTTGACAAATAATATGTTGCTAGAAAGCTCTCGTCAAAATCTTTCCAACGACACCAACATTGAATCTTCTCTTCATCCTAATTTAAATTACATGTTTTACTCTTCACAGAGTCAACTTAATTTATTAAATTTTTTTACTCATTTGTTAAAATAATATAGTCCTATCACCTCTTGTAGGGCATGATTTTTAATATCCCACTTTTCCCATTTACTATGATGATCAGTGATATATGCACTATGATTTGTCCGTTATATTTTAATCAAAGTGTATTTTCTTAATTTTTGGATTGATGAATAATGAATTACGAGTGACTTTGTGTGTGATGAGAAATCCTGAGAATGCAATGTATTCAAGACTAATGTAATACAAAATTGAAAAACAATTTACATATGCGAGATTCGAACCCACATCCGTATTTCATACCACTCTACCATTTGAGCTAATAGACAACAATTTATTTTTCTAAGAGATTCTTATCTTGTACTTATACCTATTAACTACCCATTTTAATCTCTTAGAATTTGCATCATTCAACATGTTTCTTATCATATTCAAATCTACCACAACATTTTAAATTGTCAAGGAACCAACTCAACCAAAAGCTCAAGCTTGTGGTTGTGGCCCAGGAACAGATACTTATATTCTAACACGCCCCCTCACGTGCAGGCGTAGTCTTTTTCGAGCCTCGCACGTGAAATCTTAATTTTTTTTAAACTGGGTGGCGCTGAGTTTCGAACCCGTGACCTCTTAGTCAACTAGGCTCTGATACTATGTCAAGGAACCAACTCAACCAAAAGATCAAGCTTGTGGTTGTGGCCCAGGAACAGATACTTATATTCTAACATAAATGCATCATTGTTAGCGAAAATTTCAGTATCTAGAATATAGAGATGCATCATATTTGTGTATGAAAAATCTCACCATCTCATTGATAAAAACTCACTTTGATTATGAGAATTAACAATAATCCTTTACCTTGTTTTTAAAAATGCATTGCCTTGTCATAAAAATGCATTACTTTTACTCAAAAAAATGCACAATAACTGAAATTCGCATAGAGTTTTTTTTTACCAAGGCCTAACACCAGCCCCTCATACGGAAGACAAACCTTCCTGGGATACAATAACAAATAAGGGGGGTAAGGGAACCTAGAACGGCTTGACCAAGGCCACAATAAGGTCTAAACAACAAGCAAGCTAACTAAGGCTTGATCAAGGCCACAATAATATCAAAACAAACAACATACTAGTCTAGGGCTTGACCAAAGCCACAATAAGGTCTAAAACATCAAACCAACACGACAATCCAAACTCACACCAGGCCAACACGAGCATAACCACACTAAAACAATAAAGGCCATACGGAGGGACATGGCAACACAAAGGAGTGGTAATCATCTCCAACGGGAGGAATAAAAACCCATCCGAGTCAACCACTCCTTACTCCACAAACCATACATACCAAGGCTAGGATAAGATATTATAAGCATAGAGTTTGTTCATTAAAACATGTCACACTATATTGCACTTTGATTTTTTTGTGATGCATAACTAGGGTGTAAGATATGCATTTAGAAGTCTTTTACTCCACCAATTGATATTAGTGTTTTAGTTACATTTAGAAGATTCATTGTCCGTTTAAATATACAATTGAGAATGGAGGATCAATTATAAAAATTACTGTAAAAAAATCATGGAATCTTCAACTACAAAACTCACAACATTCCTTTACGTTCCAAACAAATCTATCGTCACATCCTCAAAACTCCAACATTAGTTGTAAAAAAGCCTCACAAATCAACCCAACAACCAAGAACAGAGGAACCGAGGATGATGAACAACAACCCAAACTAGAAAGTTCATCCCCTCCAAAAATCAATATGGTGGTTCAATGCCTTACCCATATTCTTCTTGCCATTTTGCCATTGTCTCACTAAAACTCAAATTCAAGCAATTCTCAAACCAAACAGTCCAAACACAACAAACAACAAAGCAAGAAATAAACAACAGCTCAATGAACATGGGTGAATCCATCAGACATTAATTAAATCATAAATCCAACAATGGCAATGAGATATCCTTACAAAACACCCAAGAAACACGAACAAAATGGGAGAGAAACAAGCAAGAACCTAAAAAATCCAAGAAGTCAATGTCGCACTGTGAACAGTAACGACGAGCTTCAATTTAGCCTCAAGTCGTTAAATTCTTCAACTAAAATGGTAATCCAATTTCAGAATCAGAAGAAGCCTTCAAGGTCACTCATAAGCCCCCAAAAATTGGCCTTCAAGTAATCAAGAACAACAACAAATTTGGAATCCAAGTTTAAGAGATGAATAGTAAAACCGAAAAACATTTTCGTCGATTCACCCAAATCCAGTCTCAAATCAGCGAAATTGAACTCAAAATTGGAATCTTTTGCAGAAAACGATCCAAGAGCTCCAAAAACCGCACCAAAAGCACCAAAAAATCAAGAAGGAAGAAAAGGGTTAAATCGGGCGTGAACTGTACTTTTCCAACCTTCCAGCACCTAGTGAGAGAAACTCTAGCGCGATGGAGCAGATTGATCGTGCGCTAAGCTTTAGGAAAATATCGGTATAGATGATGGAGAGAGAAAGGGATTGGAATACTATGAAAACCCAAATATGTCCTTGGTGAGAAGTACTCAATTTCTTTAAATCTAATGGTTAGAAATTATTCTTATTTCTTTCATTAGATTCTATTCTTATTTGAACCAATATCTCGTTTAGAAATTATTCTTATTTCTTTCATTAGAATCTAATGAAAGAATTAAGAATGAATATGGAGCGTTAGATGAAGTAATTTTATATTAATATAGTTGTGGGCGTTTTAGGTATTCTAAAGCTAGGCGTATCTTTTTTCTCAAATGCTCTCATTAATTCCACAATTTTAGGCATGATTTTTGTAATTAGTTCAATCCCATTAATTAACTCAAGAGTTACTTAACCCATATGCGTGCATTTTAAAAAACCACAATAATTTTTCTATTTTGTAGTTTATTGCTTTAAACGAGATCTATCAGTTTTTTTATCTCTTTGAAATACACTTACCTTGTTTGCTTTTTCCTTTGTAAAAAAAGTTACGATTTAATTTTTTGGGTCAAAATGGAAAAACTTTAGCAACGAAATTTTAAAAGAATGTTTTCAATAATTTTGGACACCACAACCCTATCCAATTTTACAAAGTAAAATGGTTTGTTTTTTATTTTTTATTTTTTTTCTGTGTGTTTTAGATTTTCTTTGATTTCTTCAAATTTGTTGTGGTAGTAATTGTAAGACCAAACTGATTGCGATAGAATTTACAAAAAAATGAAGCTAATTTAGGTTCTTATTCAATGCGTTCAACGTTTATGTGCATTAAAAATAGAATAATTAACAAAGCCTACATGGGCACTTCTAGATGCATATTATACACTTTTGCTATGCATCATAAAGAATTTAAGGTGCATCATAACATATTTTCTATTGTTACTTAAGTTCAATGAGCAAAGTCTACATGAGGTTATATTATTTTTCATTTTAAAGGTAAAAGTAATGCATTCCATTAGTAAAATTCATCTATCACATGGTAAAATTCTTGACACAAATATGATGAACTTAAGTGAAATTTTTGTAAAGGATGATGCATTTAAAATATTTTGTAATGCATTTGAATTTGGGTTTTTAAGAGAATATGGGTTAGAATATGATGCATTTGTATATTCTTGTGAGTGAATTTTTTTCAAACAATATGATGAAATTTTCTCAACACAAATGATGATGCATATATATGTTCTAGCTAGTGAATTTTTTCACTACAATAATGCATTAAAAAAATTCTATGATACATTAAAATATGGTTAGGAACTCTTTGAATCCTTTAATATAATATTTGAGAATTGATGCCTTAGAATTTTGACACGTGGCAATTTTAGAGATTTATTATTCAGACACATCAGATTACAAGCGTCCAATTGGATTTTTGGTTAGCGAAGACTTTCCGATCTAAGAAAAGCTCGTCTCTTTCATTCTCCACGCTGATTCTCCTCCAAAAATATCACGGATTTTCCGTGCGATCTCTTCGCCAAAGGAAAGGAACATATTTTGTGAAAAAAGGTATTTCGGATCCAAAATTTTTGAAGCGTCAAAACGAGGTATGTTTTCAAAAATCATACGCATCAATTATTCAAGAATCGTGAGGAAGAAATCATACATCGATGCTAGCTCTTTAATCTTTGTTCTGGAGATCCCAATTATTCCCAATCCTATTCCCAGATTTGTTGGCTCGATTGTAATCCAAAATTTTATCTTAAATTCATATATTGATTCGTTTGAAAGAATTCCTAGGGTTATTAGATATATATTATTTCCCTTTGATGATTGGGAGCGATTTCTGTTTGTTTTTTGTATTTTTGTGAAAACAAACCCAGTTTGATTTGTTAGAACCGACATACCTGGATATCTTTTAGTCAATTGAATTGAGGATTAATTCTCTTAATATCCTAATTCAATTGTTTTTGGGTAGTTTCTTATCCTCTTAGTGATCCATGTTATTTTGTTCGGCTATTATGTTCAGGTCCACAAAGTTTGTATAGAGGAGACAACTAAATGTAAAAAAAAACCTGAAGATGGGTGTGTGCAATCAATTCTCCTTATTAGCTACTGATTAATAATATGCTGCTTTCATTGTTAGATTTCTGCTGTTTGAGATTTCTCTGTTAGTAACTATGGAGTACTTAATATGAGAAATGTAGTATTCCTTTGTTCTTATATCTTTAATGAACAAAGGAATTTAATCTTTTGCATCCTTCCTTTTATACCTGCGTATATTGATTGCATTCTAAGTGTTTCTTATGTTGATTGTATGCCCATAGTGTACTATTACAGACATGTTCTCATGATGGTCTTTATGTTCTATATTTTAAAACACTAATATATTGTTAAGAGATATAATGGCTTAGAAGGACCTGCAAATACTATTTTTTTATTTCATGATCTCACATATAAAAAACTAAATATATTATTGGTCAGTTTAAGCTTTCTCCTTGACTAACAAGGTTAAATGCTCACAACTAAGAGGTTATAAAGGATTATGATGTTACAGTTGTTCCTTTTGTATATAAAGGTTTAGGATAAAAAAAAACCATTGTTAAATATATAAAAAAATTCATGTAAGCAAATGAAGCCATTGTGTAAGGTACATGTAAGTTTGACTCCATACATGTAAGCCAACAATTCTGTTTTTCTCACGGGAACTCTACATTTCGAATTGCCACAATTGTTCCAAATTGATTCTGACTTCCTGCGATTCGATTTCAAATTCATGAATCCCCAAAATTCAGATTTTATTTCCTTCGTTAGATTTGTTGAACTACTCCAGTTGTTAAGTTTTATTTTATTTATTTACTCCAAATTGTTAGGGACTATATTTGGTAGTTCTCTTGATTTGGTTTTATGCTTATTGGTTATTGAATTAGTTAGCACTTAAGCACGGGGTAGAATACTCAATACATAACTATTGGATACAATTTTCGTTCCCACCTACTTGGGGTACTCAAGTTCTGTACATTTGCTTGCCTGAGTACCCGCCTTTTTATTCCTAAACTAATCATATAAGAATTTTAATAAACTTTTTTATTTGGCATTTTTTGGATACAAATGTTATCCTTTCTGTTGCTTTGTTGACAAGAAGAGTGAAAAAAAAAGTAAGACCTTACTATCACATGCGCTAGCACAATACCTACTGATGAGGTAGACATGATTGTTAAAAAAGTTGAAGTATTTGCTCAAGAAGACAAAGAGAATGGATACTATCTTGAATGACTTTCCTTCTTGCACTAGATTAGTTTTTTTTAAATATATATTTTGTGTATGTTGTCTTTGTGTTAGGTTGTTGTAACAAGGTTTCAAAAACTTCGTGGGAGACAAGCAGCAACAGAAGCTTATATTGAATCTTTGAATTAGACAACAAGTTTTACTATCCTTCAGCAATATCTGGATAAGATGATATACGTATATGATAAATTTTCATGCTCTTTTATAACTAAAATTAGTGCACTAGAGTACTAATTAAAGCTTAGTCTAGGGCTAGAGGTATCATCCATCTTATGTGATTATGAATTCTATTTATCTAATTGGTTTCAATTAAGTTTTTTTCCAGTATCATGAAACTCTTAAAGGAGTGTGTGATGGCGTAGGCTGTTGCTTTTTTCAGAGAAAAAACATGTGACCTTTGATGGAGCATGTTCTATGTATTGAGCAGCGCTTATCATTCTTGAGAGGAATAAATTTTTCTATCCTATCCTGGCGAGATGCTCTAAGTATATGACGACTGTTCAATCTTTTATATTACTAATCCTTTAGTATAATATTTGAGAGTTGATAGCCTAGAATGATGACACGTGGCAATTTCTAAAGCTATATTTGTTTGACACCTAATGTTACACGTGTCTTCTCTATATTTTTTGACTTCTTCGCCTACTTCCACGCAACCCTTTTCTTTGCCGATCTTTGCCAAAGGAAAGTATGGGTTTGGAAATTTTCAATGCGCCTATCGAAGGAAACTCCAAAAATTAAGCTCCCTTCATCGTCGAGCCTAAAAGACAATTAAAGTTCTGCCGAATCCCTCTCTCTATTAGGTCTTCTTGCTTAATTGAGATCCAAAATAACAAATTTTGAGATTCGAAGTTGATATTCGTGATTATATGTGGAAATTTTCATCAGCGCTGTAATTAGTTTTACTTGGTATGTTTCAATTTTCATATTTAATTGTTATATGTCCTTAGTTTACTCGTGCATTTCAATTCGATCATATTGTTCTTCAATACAATGATTTTTCTTTTAGTTTGAATCTTGATTTACATATTAGATAATTTACCCGTGCAATTTATATTTGTTGAATTATTTATGGATTGGTTTACTCTCGAAATTACTATAAATCAAATTCATGGATGGGATTGGAATTTTTCTTGGGTGCAAAAATGCCAGTAAATTGCTTTGTTTCCTAAATTAATTGTTATCCAATTTGTATTCTTCTTGGATCGTACTTTAATTTGTTAAAAATCCCTTTATTGTTTGAGTGACATGCTTGCCTCTTAAGGTCGTTTTTGCTTAGGGGCTGTTTGGCAACTTCTGAATGGGTAAGTGCTGAACCAGTAAGAGGTCTGAATCATTAAGTGCTGAACCAGTAAGAGGTCTGAACCATTAAGAGCTAGTATATTGCTTAACTATTCAGAGGCAAATGTCTGATCAATTCAGATAACACCTCTTAACCATTCAGACTCTGTATAATACTTAACCATTCAGAGGCAAATCTCTTAACCATTCAGACATCTGAACCATTAAGAGGCTGAAACAAACAGTCTGAATCATTAAGTGCTGAATCATTCAGACATCTGAACCATTAAGAGGCTGAAACAAACAGCCCCTTAGTCTGTTAAAGACTTAATGTTGTAGATTGAGTTCCTTAATGTTCTAAATTATACTCTGGTGTATTTTCTTCAAGTTAAAGCTCTACCTCTTTTTGTTTTTTTTTCTATAAAAAATGTCCTTGAGGAAAAAAAAATACTTCTGGGTTTCTTTAGGTATTTTGGAGCTAAACTACGTAAAGATTAATGCCTTTTATCTTTTTATTTTCAATGTTGCTTTTTACGACACCATGTGATATTTTACCACATTTGTTGTTGTGGTTTTATCTTGTAAAGTCTTTTATCACAGGTAGTTATCTATCCAGAAATTGGGATGCTTACATCTACAAAGTAGAGGATTTCTGGTCTTTATCACTTGCGTGAGAGAAGGATTTAAGTTCAAAATTAGCTACTCAACTCGAGTCTGATGTGAGATCCATCAATGGTTTATTGAGTCGGGATTTTGCAGAGTAGGGACCACAAAGCATAAGACAAATGATTGTCCTTTACTTACTATAATGTATTTTGAGAATGTATATTTTTTTTTGCGTGTGCAGATAAGCTCTACAGAATTTGGGAGTGGTCATTTTCTAGGATTAGGACTAGCTGCTCCAGTATAATCTATAACAACTCTCCAGGTTCTTATTGTAGCCTCATTTTACACATAGGATTATTTTAATTGTGTCCTTTTACCACACCTTGGCAGATAATCCGTATTTGTTAGTATCTTTTTTTTTGTATCCTTTAAATCCATCTTATCCTTTTATTCTATAAGCTATACTAACTACAATAGCCACTATCATTTGGCTTAAGAAGTAGTTTATAATCATACCATGTTTTCCCCATCATTGACTAGCATTTGGCCTAACTATTTTCTTTTTTTCTAGAACATTTTCATATAAGCTTTGTTTTCTTGGAAGGCTTCACGAACAAGGTTGTGAATATTATGTACATATTTTAAGTAGCTTTTCAAATAAGTTTCATCAACTATCAATTCAGTTTTATTTTAAGAAATAACAAATTAAATGAACATTTTTATTATATGATCGACCAAATTAAATAAAGTTACATTGTGATTGTGATTGCATTACAGGCTTATCTCTTAGAAAATGAATTTGCTCCCTGTTAGGGACAACAAAAGAGGCATTTAATAAGTTGCCCAAATGAAACATGATATGCAAAAAAAGAAAGTCAATCGTTTTTAGATGCAAGTATTCGATTCATGAGGTGTTTGGATGGCTCCGACTCTTGGTACTTTTGTGTTTTTTGCCACAACTCAAAATTCATTTATGTTAGTCCTCTATATTATCTGAAATGAGATTTTTATTCTTACAACTGTTTATGCTAAATTTTGATTTTAACTTCCAAAATTGAATTTCCCAATCAAACTTCATGTAATTATTGAAATAAAAATGCTAGAGGTAAACCAAAGGAGTTAATCCTCTATATTTTTTGAAAGTTTACATTGGTGTACCCTTAGCATCACTCTTATTGAAAATGCATTTTGTGTGTGTGCGCACATATGAGAATTTCAATAATCAATGTATAGTTCATACCTATGAAATTGATGTATTTCACTTTTGTGGGTGTGGTATTCCAATCATAAAATTGATTGTTCATACCTAGAACTTTGTTTTATGATTTATGAATTGAAGTCTCACAACCTAGACATATTTAAGTTAGTTATCATTACTTCATAAAATAACATTTCCTTCCAAAAATTATGATAACCCATACGCTATATAGCTTGATATTAAAAAATTATAAATGAACTTTACGATAATTTTTATTGACTATGCATGTGATTTGACTTGAGGGGTCTCGCCATATATTTAAGGCCAATAATTTTCTTTTTAATAGAAAAAATTTAATACTAATTACTCCGTAGATATTTGCAATACAGTCAATAACACTAAAAAAAAGACACTTACATCTATAGACTTTTTCTTAACATTTTCAATTTCATGTATAAGAATTTACATCACAAAATTATTCTACATATTATTTAGTATATATTGATGTTGATGGCTATAATATATAAAACATTGTTAGAAATATATATACTCCCTCCGTCAAAATTATCTTCCCGGTTTGACCGGAGGTGGTTTTTAAAGGAGTGTAAAAATTGGATTGACTTTCCCAAAATTCCCCTAAATCTTTCTTTCCCCTCTTAACGCTGGATCCAGACTTGCCAACTGGGAACAAAAATCACTGGCCTTCTTTCACGGAGGCATGGTTCTAAAACAAAATAAAAATGAATTAGGTTCTAAATTAAAACAAAATTTACAGAGGCATGAATCAACATTAGGTTCTAAAACAAAATAAAAATGAATTAGGTTCTAAATTAAAACAAAATTTACAGAGGCATGAATCAACATTAGGTTCTAAAACAAAATAAAAAATAAAATAGCAACTAAACAAATTTAAATAAAATGAATTACGGAGTATGAATTTGGTCCTTGCAACTGAACGAAAAATCAGAAAAAAACCATGTACAAAAAGGAAAAGGAAGAGCCATGTACCAGAAGGCGGATTTGCTTCCTCTTCAAGTGCATTGAGCAATTAAGTGCCTTATTGCAGCAATAGCATCGCCCTTATGCTCTTGCAGTGTCCAATTGCTTCGTCTCCAACCTCAATTTTTTCTTCAAACAAAAGATTAGATCTCTGTTTCGAGGAAAAGAAATGATAAGATCTAGATATAAAGATAGAGAGAAGGGGGGAGAGCCGAAGAGAGACGAAGAAGGTTAAGTTTAGATTTAGATAGGGAGGGAAGAGAGACGGAGATGGAGATATTGCGACGAAGGTGAGGGATGAAAGATGAAGATAATGTGTGGTAAGAGGGAAAGATGAGAAGCAGGTTAGGTTGAGAGAGGGGTAAAATAGACTATTCGTGCTCTTTTTTAAGAAGTGAGAAGATAGTTTTAGGACGGAGAAAAAAGAGAAGTGGGAAGATAGTTTTAGGACGGAGGGAGTATTTCTTAAACTTGCAAAAAAAATTAAACCGAAAAAAACTTTTAGAATCGACAAAAATTTTATTCAATCCCGTGCGTGGCACGGGTTAAGATACTAGTGATTTTAAAATATGAACATACATATTTAATGAGTCAAGTGCAAGATGAATCTATCTTTGGAAAAAATGAATCGTTATTAAATAGTTAAAATGGTGGAGCGGAATTTTGTAGTGTCATTAATTGGCAAAATATATGATCCCCGTATTGGTTTAGATTATTGAAAAAATTGATTAATCTCCTCATAATGGTATGATAATCTTCTCTCAAATTAATGTTTTAAAAAATATGATTTTCCTTTGTCCGGTGTAATTAAAAAACTGTGATCCTATAATTATTCTTCATTGTATTAACTTTAAAAAAATAGATTACCAATTTTATTATTCAAAAAAATCTGATTCGTTTATCCCGCATAGCCACATTAATTTGTATTAGTGAAATTAGTATTATTCGTCTCCTTGCATTAATATGATTATCCACCCTCGTATTGAAAAAATATAGTTAAAATACATTAAAAATCTAATGATTCCATTCCCCTACATTAATTCAAAAGAATGAATATGAAAACCAATAGTGATCCAATGGTTCAAATATAAATTTACAAAAACATTTTATTTTTTTGTTTTTTTGGATGTAAAATAATATAAACACGTAAAATCATTCCTTTTTAATTTATTTGACTTAAATATTTGATCATTTATAAAATTAGTCTATTTATTTTTTTGTTTAATAGTGTTTTAATGTAGAGATTAACATATATTTTTATATTTTATTTTACATTAATATTTAAAATAAATAAAATAAAAAATTACTTCATTAAAGCTTGTCATAAACAAATATGAATTTTTTAGAGGTTAAGAAAGTATCCTTTTTAAGAAATGAAATATTATTTATTCATTGATCATTTTATTTGAAATAAAGTGAAG